CTTTAGGGCACCCCCACTACCACCTAGGGGAAGCCAAGTCCCGGGCGGGCAATCACAAGCCTCGGGGGTGACTCGTTGCAAAAATTGCAAGAGGAACCACCCGGGAAAATGTTGTGACCCTCCTAGATGCTACCAATGCGGGAACATCAGGCACATGAAGATGAATTGCCTACAACTGAGCAGAGCAAGGACATCAGGACCAAGTGGTGGCATTACCGGGGCACGGAATCAAGCTGGGGCTTCCCAAGCATCCAGGGGGCAAGCGCGAGCAACGCGCCGTCCGTGAACCAATGAAGGACACAAGCTAGAGTCTATGCAATGACGGAGGCGGATGCTAAAGCTAACCCGGACTCCGTTGCAGGTATAACCACTTGACTTCTCTTGTTTTATCCATTCCTCACCCATAAACTGAAGTTATAAATCCTAGAGATCGGGTGAAAACAGACTTAGAATCGAACTAGGGAAAATTAGGTGGAACCATGCTTATACCCGACCGGGTATAACAGAGTACCCGACCGATGCTATGTTTTTGGCCTAGTAAACCTTCTGGAAACACATACTCGACTGGGTATGATCAGCTACCCGACTGGGTGTGCTGAAATTTTCATCTGGAGGCGTTACCCGTCTATTAGACCACGCCAGGAAGGGTGGAAGATTACCCACTGGAGCACATACCTGACCGGGTATGGTAAGTTACCTGACCGGGTATGTTGAAATTTTTTGACCCGTCGTGCTACCAGGCCGGGTAGAGTGGGAGATTACCCACTGGAACACATACCCGATCGAGTATGCTGAAAATTTTCAACCTGCCATGCTACCAGACCGGGTAAAGTGTGAGGGTAGCCACTGGGTCTCATACCCGACCGGGTATAGCATATTACCCGACCGAGTGTCGCAGTACGTTTGAAAAGCGGACCTTTTTCACAGGCCTACGGCTCAATTATGGTAGAGAACGTATCTTACATGGCTTATAAATGTAGGGCCACTAAAGATTAATGGGAAAGATGCGTGAATCCTTATCGATACTGGGGCACAACGTTCATTCGTGAGTGAGGTGTTCGCTAAAGGCTTAGGGATACACTCGATACCGATGACGCAAACCCTAGTGGTATCAACACCACTAGGAGATGACGTTGAGAGAACATGTTATTATCCATCTTGTGAGGTGGAAGTCGATGGCCAAACCTTGACGTGTGATTTCGTACCACTAAGCATGATTGATTTTGATGCGATCCTAGGGATGGATTGGCTAGAAAAGCATCATGCTAGGGTAGATTGCTACATGAAGATTCGAAGGTGATCGAGGCAAATCAAATAGTTGCATCATATCCGCCATGATAGCGAGGAGTATGATAAGAAAGGGATGCCACACATATCTAGCATACGTGGTTGACAAAACTAAGGAGGAACCGAACCTCGACGATGTAAGGGTGGTTTGTAAGTACCCGGATGTGTTCCCTAAAGACCCACCGGGGCTTCCACCCGATAGAGAGATTGAATTTGTGATCGAGGTTGAGCCCGGCACCAAACCAATCTCTATACCACCATACCGAATGGCACCTGCGGAACTGAATGAGTTGAAAACCCAATTGCAAGAGCTATTGGATAACGGTTTCATCAGACCGAGCTATTCACCGTGGGGAGCACCAGTTCTTTTTGTGAAAAAGAAGGATGGGACTCTACGTATGTGTATTGACTACCGACAATTGAACAAGGTCACCATTAAGAACAGGTACCCTTTACCTAGGATTGATGACTTGTTTGACCAACTCCGAGGAGCAACAGTATTTTCAAAGCTTGACTTGAGGTCGGGGTATCACCAAATAAAGATCAAAGAGAGCGACATACCGAAGAGTGCTTTCCGCACAAGGTATGGTCACTTTGAGTTCTTGGTTATGTCGGTTGGGTTAACTAACGCCCCAGCGGCATTCATGGACTTGATGAACCGAGTTTTTCATAAGTACTTGGATTAGTTTGTAGTCGTGTTCATAGATGACATCTTGATTTACTCAAGGAATGAAGAGGGGCACGAGAGACACTTGGTTCTGGTTCTTGAAACACTACGAGAGAAGCAGCTCTATGCCAAATTCTCTAAGTGTGAGTTTTGACTTAAGGAGATCGGCTTTCTCGGGCACGTAGTTTCTGAATCAGGCATTTCTGTGGACAATAAGAAGATTAAGGCCATCACAGAATGGGAAAGACCGAAGAACGTGAAGGAGTTTCGTAGTTTCCTTGGACTAGCGGGATACTATAGAAAATTCGTGGAGAAGTTCTCACTTTTGGCATCACCATTGACAAAGCTCACTCGAAAAGGAGCTAAGTTCGTATGGGATGACAGATGTGAGAAGGGATTCTTAGAACTGAAGAAAATGTTAACTGAGGCACCGATACTCACCTTACCAAAACAAGGTATGGGGTACGATGTCTATAGCGATGCGAGCATCCAAGGGCTTGGATGTGTGTTGATGCAGAATGGGAGGGTGATTGCCTACGCTTCACTACAGTTGAAGAAACACGAAGTAAATTATCCTACTCGTGACTTAGAATTGGGAGCAGTAGTTTTTGCACTAAAGATATGGAGGCATTATCTCTACGGAGAGACATGTCACATATACACTGACCACACGAGTTTAAAGTATGTGTTTACTCAGAAAGAGTTAAACATGAGACAACGACGGTGGATGGAATTGATAAAGGACTACCACCTAGTGATTGATTAGCATCCGAGGAGAGCAAGTGTTGTGCCTGATGCCCTTAGTCAGAAAAGTTCATCAGGGGCATTGATAACCAACTTGAGGGCATTGAGAGCCCAATTGGAAGTATCTACTAATGGCACCTTAGTGGCGAGATTTGAGGTGAGACCTACCTTACTTGATGAGATCAAGAAGGGGCAGGAACTAGATGATGAGCTCAAGAAGGTCCAGGAACACATGCTAGCGGGGCCGGTAGAGGATTTCCGTGAGAGAGACGATGGTCTCTTGTTATTCCGTGATCGAGTGTGCGTACCATCGAATGATGAGCTCCAAAAGTCCATTCTAGAGGAGGCTCATTTATCGGCATATGCTATGCACCCGAGAGGCACGAAGATGTACAGGGATCTGAAAAAAAGCTACAGGTGGTCTGGTATGAAAATGGAAATAGCAGAGTACATCAGGCAGTGCCTTATTTGTTAGCAAGTCAAGGCAGAACATCAGCATCCAGCGGGCTTATTGCATCCACTTTCTGTAACACTTGAGATTTAATTTAAACGGATTAATAGTACTACTCATACCAACAAGATGCATCTCCTTTTAAGGGAGCTCATCACCAAGAACTTCAAAGTTAAGCGTGCTTGCACGGGAGTAGTCTTGGGATGGGTAACCCCCCGGGAAGTTTCTTAGGCGCGCACGAGTGAGGACAAAGTGTGCGAAAAAGGCTAGTGGCGGTTTGTGAGGTCAGTACTAGAGGTCTAGAGCAACCTTGCGACAGTGTACTGACCCGTTGGATATCGGGCGGGCACTTAGCGGGACAAGATTCCGGGATTTGATTGAGATTGATTTATGGGCGCAACGAGGGTGTTGCGTTCCTAAGTTGGGGTGATTGTAACACTTGAGATTTAATTTAAACGGATTAATAGTACTACTCATACCAACAAGATGCATCTCCTTTTAAGGGAGCTCATCACCGAGAACTTCAAAGTTAAGCGTGCTTGCAAGGGAGTAGTCTTGGGATGTGTAACCCCCTGGGAAGTTTCTCAGGCGCGCACGAGTGAGGACAAAGTGCGTGAAAAAGGCTAGTGGCGGTTTGTGAGGACAGTACTAGAGGTCTAGAGTAACTACCTCGGGTCCTGAGGGCCGAGGTGTTACACTTTCCATCCCTGAATGGAAGTGGGAACATGTGACTATGGATTTCGTTGTAGGCTTACCATGGACGATCACGAACTATGACGCGGTTTGGGTTGTTGCTGATAGGCTCACGAAGAGTGCACACTTCTTACCTATCAACACCACCTACCCACTCGAGAGGTTAGCCAAATTGTATACGGACGAGATCGTGAGGTTACATGGTGTTCCGGTGACCATTGCGTTCGATACAGACCCACGATTCACATCGCATTTTTGGCCTAAATTACAAGAGTCTATGGGAACGAAGTTGAAGTTCAGTACTGCTTTCCATCCACAGATGGATGGGCAGTTTGAAAGAGTTATACAGATCTTAGAAGATATGTTGAGGGCTTGTGCATTGGAGTTCCAAGGAAGTTGGGACAATCACTTAGAACTTGTAGAGTTTGCCTATAACAACAGTTATCAGGCAAGTATCGGCATGCCTCCATACGAAGCATTGTATGGGAGGAGGTGTCGTACACCGTTATGTTAGGATGAGGTTGACATTGTTAAACTCGAGGGCACTGAGTTGGTTGAGATCACCAAGTCAAAGGTGAAGTTGATTCGAGAGAGACTCAAAGCGGCTCAGGATAGACAGAAGAGTTATGCAGATAAGCGACAGAGAACCTTAGAGTTTAAGGTTGATGATGAGGTATTCCTGAAAGTTTCTCCTTGGAAAGGAATCATTCGATTCCAAAGCCGAGGGAAGCTTAATCCACGCTACATAGGGCCATTCAGAATTCTGGAGAGAATTGAGGTCGTGACATATCGTCTACGGACTATAGTTGACTCAATAATCAGTGAGTTTAGCATGGTATTAACTCTTTAGTGTAGGGTCAATTTAGAACTCAGTGATTACCTGCATTAATTCCCTACACTAAAGAGTTAATACCATGCTAAACTCACTGATTATTAATTCAGGTGACCTGAAATGAAGCATATAATGCAAGAAAAAATGTGTGATCTATCATATCAAGGTTTCTCTTTCTTCTTCTTAAGTTGGCTAATATTCCATTCATAGAGAATTTGTAGAGATCTACAAGAAAAAACAATGATCTCCGTATGAATTCAAAAAGCCAGATATACAAAATGTTTAATTATCATTGATAATCCGTAAATGGGTAAAACTGTAGTTACCTCTAAGTTATTTTTGAAAAAAAAATGTTATCCTCATATGGCAAAGGTTAAGCCATGTTGGCTGGCATCATTGAGGACGTGGGTGGTTATAACAAAGCAGACTCCAAGGATACTCTGTTCTACAACAACCCCGACCAGTACACGCGCTCGAACCCCTGAGCCTCGCAGAGCTTTCCAAGTCGATCAGGTGTGTCCATATATCGGGAAGGAACGAATTGAAGAGGTAGGGAGTTAGGGTACTACGTAAGAAGGAAGAGGGATCATGTTTGGAAAGAAAATCGTTCGAAGTCTTAGGGTTCTACGCACACACGAATGGGTCTGGTGGCTAGGGTTCATACGAAGGAAGAGAACGGGTAAAGCTTATTGATGTCGGTGTTGTTCTTCCCAGATGATGGAGAGTTGTCGATGGTGTGACAATCGCAGGCTAAGCAGCGGCGAGGGTTCTTCGTAGAGAATAAATCGAAGGCCCTTAGGGAGGGTTCATCGCTATGGACTATGGTGAAGGAATAAAGGGTGGGTATGGTTTATTTAGGAATACCATTGGTTTGGGTTTCTTGAGTGTATGAATAGAGTGGATATGGATTATTTGGGTAATTTTATTGGATAAGCTAAGTCATACGAAATATGAAGTAAAAATAAATGGAGGTAAGTAAATTTTACGGAGGGAAGCATGTTTTATGCAGGGAAATGAAAAGTGAAAATTTTGTTTAGAGTAAAAATCTGTATTTTTTTATATAGTATCACTATTATGTATTCACGTTTTTATGTCACAAACGTATGACACTTAAGCATCGTTAATACTTAATACTATATGTCGTCAATGCATGACACTATAGAGAAAAGTGTCACTACAAAAGTGTCACTATAAGATAGTTTTGTACTGGTGATAAGATGTACTTTTTGTACTCATCCCAATTTATTTAGATCAAGTCAACCTTCTACATCGTATTATTGATCTCTAATATGTGTAGGATGGTCCCAATAATTTATATGATGTATAATTATAAAAGAAAACCATACTCTCATTATTTAGCTTAATAATGTCAAAGATGGGATCATAGACATTTGTATTCTTCTCCAATCATTCAATCACTTATTTATGACATTAGTATTCATATTGCTGGGCTACTAGCCGTATGGGCTACCCTCAAGTGGGTCTAGGGCGTCATTCTTGAATAATTTCTATTTTTAGCAGGTTAGGCCCAAAATAACATTTGACCTGTCCGACTGTTCTTACTTTGTATCGAGGGGTTATATATCTTTGTTTAAGAATGTTGGGCCCAAATATCAATAAGATGGCCCAATTAATTATTTGGAAGTCCATTACTATTATACGAGCCCAACAGTAATATGATTAATCACACGTTACGTAAGACTTTAATCGTTTTACATTTTTTCGATAATAGGGAAATTCAATACATAAGCTTTGAAATTTAATTTGAATTTCAAGGATATTTGGGTGCGGTGTCACAAGTTCACCCCCCCCCCCCCCCCCCCCCCTTAACAGGAATTTCGTCCCCGAAATTCACAATGCTACTCAAATAGGAAAGCATATTGCTCTCTCATCAAAGCTTCCGTTTCCCAAGTCTCTTCTTCAACTCGGTCGCTTTTCCAAAGAACTTTAACCATTGGAACTTCTCTACTCCTCAATTTCTTTACCCTTCTATCGGTGATCTTGACCGGTTGTACGACGTAGTTCAAATCCTCACGTAGTTCACCGATATATGTACATTTTCTAACTTTTATTTGGTGAATGTTCAGATATGGAAATTGCTAGAATGGGGAAATAAGCTACCTCCACAAAAGTTGTGATTATGATATATGTTACGAGTACAAGGCTTAGGTATTGAAAGTGTTACTCTTAGATTGCTTGGTTTAAAGAATCCATATTATTGCAGCCAACTATTTTTTTTATTTCAAGGGGTTTCCAGAGTTACGACACATCGGCTAGCTCGCGTGACAAGAGAAGGTATTTGTTAGGTTTGTGTATTCATTGGGTTAATTTATTTCTCTAAGTTTGATATAGAACATGGAATAGTTATTTCTTAGTGTTTAGTTTGTTAATGTCTATCATGTGTTTGTAAAAATGCCTCAACAAAAAATGAAATTGAGCAAGCAATAATGTGGCTTAATGAAATACAATGTTTTCATATCAAATGATATACTAAACTAGGTACCTAGTCATTGATATGAAAACATGTGTAGAAAACATTATAACTTATGGTAACATGTGAAGTCCATTACTGTTTTGTCTGATTTTCACTCTTCTCATTTGCAAGCATTGCTCTGAAAGTGCCAAATATAAGAAGTTATATATGTTGGTTCTTTGTATCTTCCATGCCTATTTTGGAAACTTTGGTAATTGCAGGCATGTGTTACTAGTGGTTGCAATAGAATTGTTGGAAATTGTCTATACATGGGAAGCTAGTCTACTTTATTTTTGAGGTTTTTTTGTGTTTGTAAGAAATCAGGTGTAATCATTACACCTTCTCTAATATGGAAACCTCGATGAGGAGGAGGAATACAGCCAGTATCAGGAGAAGAAGCGCCACATCCATATGATCACTGGAGGTAACACAGGGGGGACTCCACCATCCAGCGGAAGAAGTGGGCTCAATCGCTATATGTGGGGGAAGTCACTCATATGCCCCCGGTAAAGCGGCTGAGGGAGGAGCCCATCACATTCAAAAACGCCGATCTCCCCCCTACTTCCTCTCCTCACAGGGATGCTTTGGTGATCAAAAGCGAAATAAACAACACCATCATTCATCGAACCTACATTGACACGGGCAGCTCCGTCAATGTAATCTACCTCAGCACATTCAGAGAGTTGCATCTGAAGAGGGGGTCCCTTCAGCCCATAAAGACCCCTCTTGTCGGCTTCACCGGAGACACCATTGATTCTGAGGGGGTCATAACCCTCCCGGTACTATTCGGCGACAGGCTCCGTAGAGCCAAGCTCGAAGTGGAGTTCGTCGTCATCAACATCGACTGCGCCCACAACATCATCCTCGGCAGACCAGCCCTCGAGGACCTCGAAGCCATCATCTCCATGAGGCATCTGTGCCTCAAGTTCCCCGCCGAAGGAGGCATCGGTTACTCAAGGGGGAATCAAAAACTTGTCTGCGCTTGCTACTTTCAAGTGACAAAGAAGGTTAGTAAGACCGAGTTCCGCGTTGACACCATCACCGGAACCGTGGAGGAAGAAGAGAAGAAACCGAGGGCTGAACCCGCCGAGGAAGTAGAAGACTTCGCGCTCGATCCGGCCAAGCCGGAGAGAGTCGTGAAGATTGGAGCTAAGCTCCCCGAAGATTTGAAGACCGTCATCACAAATGCCCTTCGCGCCTACTCCATTGTTTTTGCATTGGGGCCGGAGGACATGCCCGGGATCAGCCGAAGGGTCATCACCCACCGCCTCTTGGTGGACCCTTTGGTCAAACCTGTACAACAGCGAAGAAGGCCCCTCTCGGCCGAGAAGAGAGATTTTGTGAAGGAGGTTGTCATGCTCCTCTCCATCAAGCACATCAAGGAGGTGAAATACCCCTCATGGCTGGCGAACGTAGTCCTCGCACAGAAGCCACTCACCTTCCGCATGTGCGTGGACTACACGGATCTCAATAAGGCGTGCCCTATGGACCCATTCCCTCTGCCGAACATCGATCTACTGTTGGATGAGGTCGCGGGGTGCGAAATCATGTCATTCCTCGACGCATTCCATGGATACCACCAGATTTTTATGCATGAGGAAGACGCAGAAAAAATAGCTTTCATGACTCCTGAGGGCATATTCTGCTATCTTGTCATGGCCTTCGGCCTGAAGAACTCAGGCGCCACTTACACCCGGATGGTGGCCAGAGTCTTTCAGGTCGTCCTAGGGTGCATCATGGAGGGCTATGTCGACGACATGATCGTCAAAAGCAAGCAGTCAGCAAATCATGCTGACGACCTTAGGGAGATCTTCAGCATCATGCAAAAATTCAACCTTCGGCTAAACCCGAAGCAATGCACCTTCGGCGTGCAAGGAGGAAAATTCTTAGGCTACATGGTGAGCCGAAGGGGTATTGAGGCCAACCCCGAAAAGATCCAGGCCATCATCAACATGGAGCCCCCACGTAGCGTGAAGGAGGTCCAGCGGTTGACGGGCCACCTGGCTGCCCTCAACCACTTCCTATCCAAATCGGCAGAGAAGTCCTTACCCTTCTTCCAAATCATGAGGAAGACCGTCGGCTTCCAATGGACTACTGAGTGCCAAGGGTCTTTCGACGAACTCAAAAAATACCTTTCCTCCCCTCCTGTGCTCTCCAAACCCAAGGTAGGGGAAACTCTATACCTTTACCTTGGTATCAGCCCGGCTGCCATCAGCTCAGTCCTCATTCGGGAGGAAGACGGCGTCCAACATGCCATCTTCTATGTTAGCAAGACCCTCAGGGAAGCAGAGCTCAGATATTCTCCTATGGAGAAGACGGTGCTAGCCATCGTATGGACCATCAAGAAGTTAGGCCACTACTTCCAGGCCCATCCGGTCCAGGTACTCACTCACCAACCCCTCGGCGCTTTGATGAGGAGTCCCACCAGCTCCTCCCGGATGGTAAAATGGGCCATCTTCCTCAGCCAATACAACATTGACATCCATCTGAGGCCTGCCATAAAGGGTCAAGCCCTGGCGGACTTCGTGACGGAGTGCACGGCCAGATCAGCGGTAGATGAGGAGCCCTCGGCACCTTCGGATGAGTGGTGGACCCTCTATACTGATGGCTCCTCAGCCACCAAAGCATGCAGGGGAGGAGTAGTTCTCATTACTCCCGAAGGCTTCCGGGCCTACTATGCCATCTGTTTCTCCTTCAAAGTCTCCAACAACGAAGCGGAATATGAAGCCCTCCTCTGTGCCCTTCGGCTGGTAGCAAACATGAAGGCCAGACAGATCCACGTAAAGTGCGACTCCAAGCTGGTCGTCGGCCAAATTTCTGGGGAATATGAGGCCAAGGAAGGAAGGATGAAACAATACAAGGAGGCGGCCAGAGAGTTGCTTAAGGTATTTGAGGCATACTCTCTCAATCAAATACCGAGGGCTCAAAACTCTGAGGCCGACATTCTGTCAAAGCTCTCGGCCGAGTCCCCTGAGCACATATCCAAGATTGCAAAAATCGAGGAACTCAGCCTCTCCAGCATACATGCCAGCCCAGTCATGAGCATACAACAAAGGTAAGAGGACTGGATCTCAGACATCATCGCCTTCATCACCACAGGGCAGCTGTCCGAGGATGAAGCTCGCGCCAAGCTAGCAAAGCTGATGGCTCCCAGTTATACCCTCGAAGACGGAAGGCTCTACAAAAGATCATACAACGGTACGCTGCTCCGGTGCCTTCACCAAGATGAAGCCGAAGTTGCGATGGAGGAGGTGCACAGTGGCACTTGCTCAGCTCACCAGGGACCCTTCTCTATGTCCCGAAGGCTCATAGTCCAGGGCTACTTCTGGGCCACCATGACCCGGGACTGCACGGATCTCGCCCGAA